CCACCCACAAACGCACCTGCTGCTACAGAAAGCCAGCAGTGAGCCACCCCCGCCTGCATACTGCTGTCATGTGTTAGTGAAGCCAGTACTTCACGTTCCAGTAGCATGATTACAAACATGTTGGGATTTCTACTTTACCGTATCTATAAGCAGAGGACATTTCAGGTCCAGAAAGTAAAAATCCAAACCAGGATTTTGTTTCAACCAACCATTTGAGTACTCCATGACCGTGACTCTTTATACTCAACTGGTTGGTTGAAACAAAATCCTGGTTTGGATATTTACTTTCTGGACCTGAAATGTCCACCTCTGTCTATAAGGGAAAGGAAGTGTAGGAGCAGGAGGAACCCAACCCACTCGCTCTCCGACGCATCTTTTGAGGACAAAACAAGCCTGTCTTCACAGGCGGGACCCCCTCAGCCACGCAGCGTCTGCCCAGCCTCAGCTGGAGGGCTTAGGGACTTGTTCGGTCGGCCCGGAGCCCAGCTAAGCACTTTTGTGCTTCAGCTGTGGTGCACAATGTGGTCGATGCTCTCCTGGATCTCAGTCATCTTCTTCAGCACCTGGTTCACCTTGACCTCATCAAACTCCATGCACACGAATTCGGAATCCTGGACAAAAAGATAGAGGGATGGGGGGCGGGGTCACATGTTTACATGCCTTGTGATTATCACCATCATGATGGTATTTATAGCACTTCAGAACCATGAAACTGCAATGCATGACTCAAAAATGGCCGAATGTTTAATGTAGTTAGGAAGCTGGTCGCGGCAGCCAGGTGACTTGACGTCTACGTTTGTGAAGCTGGGAGGGCGGTGGCCCACAGGGCGGGGCCATGGCACAGGACCCCACCCACAGGGCGGGGCCATGGCACAGGACCCCACCCACAGGGCGGGGCCATGGCACAGGACCGCCCCCATGTGCCGAGTTAATGACCCGCCTCCAGAAAGAATGCGAGCGACCATGGGCTGAGAAAGCTGGATGGACGAAGTCGGCCAACGGATTCGTATGTGGGACAGTCATACTATATTTTACCGTCTACTGACACCGAGCTGGAGATATTAATAGGAAACCGGAGCTTCTGGCACCACCGTTGTCTGTTTTCTGATTTGAAAGAAAAAAAAAAAA